TCACATGGGATATCAAAGAGATTGTCCAATGATTTCTGCATTCCGATATGTCTCCTCTCTTTGGAATGGGCACAAATACGAATCTCTTCCAATCAATTGGCCAGACAGTTAGTTGTCTTCCATATTTCTTGGCATAGATGAGCGAGTGTCTCCTGTGCCACCTCACTTTCTTATAAGATTTCAGTTTTTTCCCATCAATTCCTGGTGCCTCGTTCTTTCCAGTTCAATGCACCTTGGACTTCTTCTTTCAGTATCATTGGCTCTTAATCATATGCTATCTTTGGAAACTGTTGAATATCAACCATTTTCTTTTTAGTCCAGTGACTGAGTATTCCTTCCATCTTCTTTTGATGCTTTCTGCATCATTCAATAATATTCCCATTGAATCTTTCAATAACGAAATTAGAGGCTTGAATTTTTTCTTCAGTACCCGCAGCTTGAGAAATGCTGAGCATGTTCTTCCTTTTTGGTTTTCTGATTCAAGATCTTTGCACATTTTGTTGTAATATTTGGCTTTATCTTCTCAAGCTGATCTTTAAAATTTATGTTCAGCTCTTGTACCTCCTCATTTCTTCCATTTGCTTTAGCATCTCTACACTGGAGAGCAAGTTTCAGTGTCTCTTCTGACATCCATTTTGACCTTTTCCTTCTTTCTTGTCTTCTTAATGATTTTTTGCTTTTTTCCTATGTAATGTTCTTGATGTCATCCCACAACTCTTCTGGTCTTCGGTCTTTAGTGTTTAATGTATCAATCACATCTGTTCTTCCGATGATCTCTAAATTCAGGTGGGATATATATTCAGAGTCATATTTTGGCTGTCCTGGACTTGTTTTCATTTTCTTCAGCTTCAATTTGAATTTGCATATGAGCAATTGATGGTCTGTTCCACAGTCTGCCCTAGCCTTGCTTTGACTGATGATGTGGAGCCACAGAGTCAGTACCGACTCACAAAATGAAACTGTACCTGATCCTGGGCCAGCCTCACAATCATCGCTACATTTGAGCCCACTGATGCTGCCACTGTGCGAATCCATTCGTTATGGGTCTTCCTCTTTTTCTCCAACCCTCCACCTTACCAAACATGATATTCTTCTCCAGTGACTGGTCCCTCCTGACAATATGTCTTAAGTATGAGAGACAAAGTCTGGCCATCCTGGCTTCCGAGGAGCAGTCTGGCTGTACTTCTTCCAACACATACCTGTTTGTTCTTTTGGCAGTCCATGGTACTTTGAATATTCTTCTGCAACACCATAACTCAAAAGCATCAATCTTTTGTGGTCTTCCTTACTCACTGTCCAACTTTCGCATGCATATGAGGTTACTGAAAATACTATGGCTTGTACCAGTATGCTTTTCAACGCTTTAAAGGGGTCTTGTGCAGCACATTTGCCCAATGGAATATGTTGTTTGATTTCTTGACTGCTGCTTCATGAGTGTTGATAGTTGATCTAAGCAAAATAAAGTTATTTACAACTTCAGTCTTTTGTCCATTTATATGGATGTTATTTATCAGTCCTGTTGTGAGGATTTTTGTTTTTTTTATATTGAGGTACAACCCATACTGAAGGCTGTGGTCTTTGATCTTCATCAAGTACTTTAAGTCCTCTCCACATTCAGCAGATGATATTGTATCATCTGCATATCACAACTTGTTAATGAGTCCTCCTCCAATTCTGATGTCACTTTTTTCTTCATATAATCCACTTACTTGGATTATTTGTTCAGCATACAGATTAAGTAAATATGATGAAAGAATACAACCTGTCACACACCTTTCCTGACTTTAAGCCATCGGTATATGGATTGATATTTCAGGGTCCAGATATTTGTCACATTCATAAATTCAGTGAACTATAATTGAACAACTATAGTGTGCCTGGAACCTAGAGTCCTGGTTTGGCTCTGTAGGATAAGCACTCAACTGCTAACTATAAGGTCAGCACAACAGTTCAAACCCACCAGCTGCTCTTTGTAGATCTTATACATGGTTGCTATGAGTTGGAACCAACTCCACTGCACTTAGCAACAATAGTATGCCAGACTTCATTTATTTTATTATCTAATTTATGTTGAAACCTGTAAACGCTTCAACATTTTACCAGTTATAAATATTCCTCTTTGTTATAGAGTATAAGTGTAAATAATCTGCTTTATTATAGATGCAGTACCTCTTTTTCTGAGACTTCTTCATTCACCACATCAGAATGTTTGTGAACAAGCAGTATGGGCCTTGGGAAACATTATAGGTAAGTTGCAGTTAGATTCGAAAAGACTCTAATTAAGGATCTTAATTAACTTTTTTCCTACATTGGCATAGTCATTACATACTATGTTTCCTCTAAATTTATTGTGAGTTGACTATCTTCCTGCCTTACAAATACTAATTTAAGCTGGTACTTCTTTGAAAGGATAATGTGATTTGCTATCAGGACTACTAGGTTAAATTTTGTGTCCCCAAATCAAAATCTGGAAAAGCAGCAATACTTGATACCCTTGACTAATGGTGAGGAAACATAGCACATCAGTGTCCCAACATGAGCCATTGCATACATTTCAGACTTTCTCATCTTGAATGTAATTTTTTTTTTTAAATACAATTTTCATTTCTATAGGTGATGGTCCTCAATGTAGAGATTATGTCATATCACTGGGAGTTGTCAAACCTCTTCTGTCCTTCATCAATCCCTCCATTCCCATCACCTTCCTTCGGAACGTCACATGGGTCATTGTCAATCTCTGCAGGAATAAGGATCCCCCACCGCCTATGGAAACAGTTCAGGAGGTAAATGAAGAATTGTAAAGGCCCAATGGTATATTTTCCCTATGTTTATGCTTTAGTTTTGGGGTTTTTTTTTAATGCACAAGCAACATGTAATACATGTACTGATTTTGTTGTAAGTAGGATAACATTTATTTTGGATTCTTGTGAAATGGAAGTTTGAGTATATTATAACACCTGAAAGACTGTCATTGAATTCTAATTCTTCAAAAGCAAAAATAGAAAAGGAGAAAGTTAAAAAAAGCAAAATAAAACTAGTTTTATTACTGTATGGCTGTTGATTTAACAATTACTAAATAAGCAGTTTCTATAGATTTAAACCTAGCGTATTTATATTCAAGTGTTAATTAAGTCCAATTGAAATTTTCTTAGCTGGCTGCCAAAATTAGTGTTCTTAAAAGTGTGGCATACTTTACTTCAGTTTTACTTTCCACCATTTGAGTTACTTGTGGTCAGCCGCAGTCTGAAAATATTTCATTGTGAGCTGTTCTGAGTATCATAATGCAGTTTGACACCTTGCTTCATACTATTAGCTCCATCCCAAAGATGGCTACTTCCTCCTTCACTGGGCATGAGTCTGGAAAACAGAGTTGAGGGAGTGACTGTGTCACGCTCTGCCAGCATCCACTGCCTTCCTGAGGCACCCAGATACCTGGTATAGGGTTGGGTGCTATCCATGATTTCAGGCATCCTAAGACTGGGGACCCTAGAATGTATTTCCTGCATATATACATATGGAAATGTGGTGGCTTGTCCTATCAGAGAAATACTGAATTGCAAACCCTAATATTGGCAGCTTGAGTCCACCAAATGCCTATGAGAGAACAATGAGGCTTTTTGCTGTTGCAAAGATTTACAGCCTTGGAAACCCTATACAGGTTCCCTCTAAATCAGAACCTATTTGATGGCACTTAACAACAGCTGTACTTTGTGTTAAATCTAATTAAATAAAAGGAAAAACTTGTTTACATCTAATTTGTAAATGGATTTGAGTGTTTTAAATTTATAGAAATTCTGTGCATCTTTCTTCATTTGACAGTAGAGAAATGATGACTTAATAATTGACATCTGTAGCCAGTTTCAGCTCCCTTTTGTTTTATGGAAAATGTTTCCTATCCACCCACCAACCCCACTTCCTACCCCCAGATTAAAAAAAAAAAAACAAGGTCTGTAAGGCTTTATATGTAGATATATTGATTATAATTTTCCTAACTGAAGTTCAAAACTTTAATTAACTTACTAAACAAAATCCTTTATGAGGCGAGATGATAGCAGTTTTAACAGTAAACGGTAGCCATAATATTGTTAATACTTGCATCTCCATTCTTTCTCTTGGCATTGTATATCATAAAGTAGTGTATTGAAAACAAATGTTTTTTCCTTTAAGGTACATTAATCTCTGACAGATTTACCAAGGATAAGTCAAAAAGAATTACTTCAAAATTAGAAGAACTTTTATTAAGCAAAAATAACAAAATGCAAAGCTTTTGTTTCTCAGCATATTCTCCACCCAGGTCTATAAACTTCTGAAGGTGGTGTTTCCATGTCTCTAACCTTTTTCAAATAATTCTGCATTCTTTGATTTATACCACATCAAAATGGCACTTTTGGCATCCTTGAGGCACTCAAATTGTGTTCCTTTTCAATGTTCTTTGAGTATTGGGAACAGAAAGAAGGCTGAATGGGGCAAGATCAGGTCTGCAGGCTATATGGAGTAAGGTTTCCCAATGGAATTCTCATAGCACAGCCCTTGCTACCCTTGAAGAATGAGACACAGTGCGTTGTCGTGATGGAAAAATGCTCTTTGGTGCAACCTTCTTGACCTTTTTCTCACCAATGCAGTTTTCTGTTTTCTTGAAATGTCTCCCTAGTAAATTTCCATGATCATTCTATGTCCTTCAAGAAACTCTGTCAAAATATCTCCTTTGGAATTCCCCCAAAAAAGTCACCATAACCTTCTGTGCTGACCACTGCCTTGTTCATCTTTGACGTCTTCTTGTCCAGTCTGCCTTAAAATGCTTCATGCATCTAATAGCTGTTGCTTTATGTGGGGCAGCATTTCCATAAATTTGTTGCAAAGTTTCAGTGATTTGAGAAGATCTCCACTAGAGTTTTGTTAAAACTTTTGTATTAGTATTATCCGTAACCTCAAAATCGTTGTTTTCCATGGCACAAAAATTATCCCTTTGGCACAGCAGGATAATGTGCTGGACTGCAAGGTTAGTTTGACCTGAAAGTTCTAACCCACCAGCTACTCCTCAGGGTTGCTATAAGCCGGAACCAACTTGAAGACACTTAACACCAAGTATATTACAGAGAATATTTGCCTGTGTCTATCCACCAATCACAGACATGTCTAAGCATGTTTTGTTTGGAATAAACCCATATATGTATGAACTAGAGCCCTAGGAGCAATACTTTTTGATTTACCCTTGTATTTGGATAGTTTAATTTCATATCTGAAATAGGCTTTTGGTGTTTTAGAATGATCTTAACAAGTTGTTGTTTTCTTAATTGAAGAGCATTTCAAACAAATTTAATGGGTTTTTTTCCCCTAATATTTACTGCATTTTGTATAGCAATTTATTTTTACTCAGACCTATTCTTAAACTCTAGTTTTACTTATTATTTGTCTTTTTTCCTTAGATTTTACCAGCATTATGTGTCCTCATATACCATACTGACATAAACGTAAGTAAAGCAAAAGCTAAGATTTGGGATATGGGGCTTGAATGATGGTGGTTTTGTGCTACAGATTAGACAAAATTAGGACCAGTATTAGAGCTGAGGCACTAAGAATAATAAAGCAAAGGGAGACTTGAGAAATGTTTAAATGGTAAATTTTGCTGAATTTGATATGGGTTGTGAGAGAAGAGAGGAATCAAGGATAATGCTCAGCTTTCTAATTGTGGTTTTAGACTAGGATGCAATAGGAAACAAGAATAGTAGCTGGAAGAGGTATGAAACTGTATGGATGATTTGAGAGTATGACTTAGTGAAAACAGAATGCTGAGAAGAAGCTGGGTTGGAGTGTAAATACAATTAGGTGGGTTTTGGGCTTTTATTCACCTGTTAGATATTAGAAGGAAAGCTAAATATTGACCCTGAGAACTAGTGCAGAAATTTGCCCTAAAATAGGCCAGTATGTGTTCACGTGCTTTCTATTTATTGTGCCTCTTAAAAGTTAATTTTCAATGGGAGTGATATGGTTTTCCTGTCCTTTTTGAAGTTGTTATTCATGCTGGACATACCTAGACAGTTTGTGGTGCTGGACTGCTGACCACAAGGTCAGTGATTCAAACCCACCAGCTGCTCCTCAGAAACCCTATACAAGGTCACTATGTGTCAGAACTGAATTGACAGCACTTAACAGCAACAACATTTGACACATATTTAGCTTATTTTACCATGTGTACAAATGAAATTAATTAGTTGTAGCAGATTGCTTATGTGATGAGATTTGATTATTTATAACATTGGTGATAGTGTATCTAGCAACCCCAAGACCATCCTCAATGTTCAACAATTAGTTATAAAGATTCAGAAAAGCAGTTATACTTTTTTATATAATGGTTTATTTATTTTTTCTTCTCATATTCATCCTGATAGTATTTAATCCTCCAGTAAGTTTTTAGATTAAAATCATAGGGCAGAGTCCAGAAATGAGGCGTGAGCTTCCAGTTGTTCTCTCCAGAGCAGTCATATACAAACAGTATTTCTTTTTCCTAGAAATGATGTGTGACGCCTACTGCCAACCAGAAAGCTAACCTAATCCTTGGTGTCCAGGGTTTTTATTGGGGATCTGTCACGTAGACATATGAGTATCCATATGACTTCCTTTCACTAATTTCCAGACCACCCCGATAAACAAAAATAGGCGGCATTCACCTTAGATCCCATTGTGAGCATCAACTGTTTTGATATGGCCTAGGGTCCTGATGTGGCACTGTAGAATAAGCACTGTACTGCTAACCACAAGGTCATTGATTCAAATGACCAGCTACTCCTCAGAAGCTCTGTACAGAGTTGGAACCGACTCAACAGCACTTAATAATGTTTTTGTTATTAAGTGAGGTCATGTCAGTTCCTACTCATAGCAACCCTAAAATAGGGTTTCTGAGGTACAGCTGGTGAGTTTGAATTGTTGACCTTGTGGTTCGACGTCCAGTTCTGATCCTAGTGTTGATCCTATAGTACCACATCAGGAGTCCGAACAGCATAATTCTCATATATTGATATGATTAATATGTTTGATTTCAACTTTTATTACTTTGTGTTGTTTTTGTGTGTTTTATTCTCTATTTCATGTACTTTGTTTTTCCTTTTTAAATTTTCTTTGGTATTTAGGAAGGTTTGTATTTTTGCTCCAGTGTTTCTGAGAACAGCTGGTCAGTTTGAACCACTGACATTGAGGTTCAAACCAAACTTGGAGTTGAGCACTTACCCTACGGCGCCACACCATGATTCCAATAACTATGTGGCTTGACAGTTTTAAATGATATTTTTTGGTGTGGCGCTGTGGGATAAAGCACTGGACCGCAAGGGCAGTTTGAACCAGAAGGTTGATGGTTCAAACTCACCAGCCGCTTCTTGGAAACCCTATACAGGGTCACTGTGAGTTGGAACTGATTCCGATGGCACTTAACAACAACAAACCTTCTACTTCAGTGATTGTTGAACTTACTGTATGTTTGTTTTCTCTCACTCTTCTCTCAGTTTTGAGTCTAGAGTTACATCATTTGCCATTTTGGGCAAACTTTCTGCCATTATTTCTTTTTTAAATAAAGCTCTTTCTCTCCTTTTAGGATTCTGATAACACAAAAATTCTGATAACACAAATCTTTGTTATTGTCCGACAAGTCCAGAAGGCTCTGTTCGTTTTTTTTTCTACCCATCTCTGTTTCTCTCTGTTGTACAGATTGGATGATTTCTATTCCTTAAGTTCATGATTTTTTCTATTTTTCATCTCATATCTTCATTCATATTGAATCTTTCCAATCAGTTTTTCATTTCGATTACTGAATTTTTCAATTAAAAAATTTTAATTTGGTTTGTCTTTATAATTTCTTTGCTGAGGCTTCCTATTTTTCATATGTTTCAAGAATGTTCAAAATGGCTCATTTTCATGATGCCTTTAAATCCATAGATAATATCTGTGTCATCTCAGCATTGTTGTCTGTATCAATGTCTTTTCTTTTTTGAGTTGAGATTTTCCTGGTTCCTGGTATGACAAGTTATTTTTAGTTGTAAACATTTTGGTATTGTTATGAGACCCTATACTTATGTAAGTCTTATTATTGCCTGGCTAGGTAACAGACAGACTTTGTTCACACACATACAGCATCTGTAGACAACATCCAGGAGTAAGGGGCCTCATTCCATATGGGGTTGTGTGGGGTGAGGTGGTAGACGGGTGCAGCTCACAGGCGTAGCTTCTGTCTTGCCATTTTAGAAGTTGCAATATTTCTGCTTTTTCTACAACAAATTATCATTCTATCATGTCTTCATGTTTGTGTAAATCTTTGATCTGCAGTGAACAAATGCTCAGCATTTCACTGCAGTTTACCTGGTTGTCTCTTGGTTGAATGAAGCTCGTCCTCTAATACAGGGGTTGGCAGACATTTTCTGTAAAAGACTTGTCATTTCTGACTCATGGCTACTGCATGAGAAATAAGTCTGTGATCTATTGTAAACAAATTGCCATGCCTATCTTCCAAGGCACTTCTGATTGGGTTAGAACAGCCAGCTTTTTGGCTAGTACTCAGCCAATTATTTATGCACAATCCAAGGACTCCCATAAAGGGCTAAATAGTATTTTAGGCTTTGCAGACCACGCAGTCTTTGTTGTACTATGTATATATCTGCCTTATAGTGTGAAAGCGTAGTGGTTACGAATCGGGCTGCGAACCTTAAGGTCAGCGGTTCGAAACTACCAGCTACTCCGCGGGAGAAAGATGAGGCTTTCTACTCCCGTAAAGATTTACACCCTCGGAAACCCTGTACAGGGTCGCTATGGGTCGGAACCGACTCGACGGCACTTAACAACAACATAGTGTGAAAGCAGCCATGTTGTTGTTAAGTGCTGTCAAGTTGGTTCCAACTCATAGCAGCCCTGTATAGGGTTTCCAAGGAGTGGCTGGTGAGTTTGATCCACCCAACCTTAAGGTTCAAACCAACCTTGAGGTTGAGTGTTTATCCTACAGCATCACACGAGTCATAGCAATATGTAATGAATGAGCATGACATAATTGAATAGAATTTTATTACAAAAACAAGCAGAGTTGGATTTGGCCCACAAACTGTACTTTGCCAGTTCCTGCTCTAGTTGTTGATAAGCTTGTAAGTATTTTCTCTGTTCTTGTACATATAACTATTTTTAAATTGCCTGATCCTTAGTTTTCAACTATCTTTCCTGAAGTTTCTTGAAAATGGTGTTTCTTTGTATGTTGCTTTTGAAAAGTTTTATGCCAGCTTAACTTTCTTACTCTTGTAAATAATTTGAAATTTTTGCTTAGACATTAAGAGAACTGTTGCTTTATTTGAAAGGGTAATAGTTTTACTAGGCTTTGTTGCCTTTAAACCTCTTTTCCATATAGTCCCTCCAGAGAGACTGATGTTCACATAGGCTTGGGGCAAGAAGCCCAGACAAAAATAGGATTTTTTTTCTGCTTACGTTTCATTTGAAATTTGTAGTGTTCTCTGATTCCTAGTAATGCTGAGGATGTGGGCTATGTGTGCTTTTATTTGTTCTCCTTATTCATCTTTTTATTTTTTTAAAGGGTTTGTGGAGATATTTGAGTTTAGGTGGCTGCTGTTAGGTTAAAGAGCTACAAATGTCTTTCATTTTAATAATAAACATTTCTAGATTTCACATAGAGTAAAACCAGTCCTTCACATTTCTCTGTGAAAACACCAAGGAAAGCCACAGACTCTGACCTTGAATGGGTCACGAAACCTCTGAGCTTGTGTTTTTTATCTGAAAAATTAGAATGGGCATCAGGCATGATTTGTCACTCATTGGAGAGTGTGTTTATCTGTTTACTTTTGTAGTCTGAAAAGTGAATTGCATTACTAAATGTGTTTCAAAACCTTTAGTGTAGATAAATGATCTTGTTGGCCTCTTCTAAAAGACCCCTGCTGGTGTAATGGTTACATGCTCAGCTGTTAGACAAAAGGTCAGTGTTTGAACCACCAGCAGTTCTGTGGGAAACAAGACTTGGTGATCTGCGCCCGTGAAGATTACAGCCCAGGAAATTCTAGCAGTGCTGTTCTGTCCTATAAGATCATGAGGAGTCAAAATCAACTCTGGCACAAAACAACAGACTTGAAATATTGGTCTGATTCTGTGTATAGTGAATGTGTATATAATACAAGTGATTATTAAAATTTCAATTTGTGGGGCAAGGAGAATTACTTTTCTGCCTGTTTTTAAATTCACCTGCCTGTTATTCTGAGTTGTATAAATGCCAAAGATAGAGCAGAAGTTCTGACACACTTCTGAAGAGTTGTCTGGGGTTGGCATTGAGAGCTTTGTCAGAGATGCAGATGTTTTTGCCACCTAACTAAAATATAATTGTTTTATATTTTACTACTTCTGTTACTACCCCTAAGCTGTGTTAAGCATTTTGAACATTCCAACAAATATGTAACATGCTTATTCTTCTTCACCTCTTGTAGATTCTTGTAGATACTGTTTGGGCTCTGTCATACCTGACAGATGGAGGTAATGAGCAGATACAGATGGTTATTGATTCAGGGGTTGTGCCATTTCTTGTGCCACTTCTGAGCCACCAAGAAGTAAAAGTTCAAGTAAGTATTTTACAGTTTTAACTACCTATATAGAATTATGTGTGCTACATACAGTTCAGTTTCTTAGTCAGGCTTCAATTCTATCTGTAAGTGCCTGTCTTCCAGGTTTCTCCTATTATTCTCTGAACCTGATTTATTGGTTTTAATCTTTTATATTTTCTTATCTGTCAGTGTGTCACACTGTGGTGGCTTGTGTTGCTGTAATGCTGGAAGCTATGCCACTGGTATTGTAAAAACCAGTAGGGTCACCCATGGTGGACAGGTTTCAGAGGAACTTATGGACCAAGACAGACTAGAAAGAAGGAGAAGTAGACAACTTCTGAAAGGTTAGCCACTAAAACCATATGATTAGTAGTGAACACTGTCAGATATACTGCCAGAAGATGAACACCTCAGGTTGGAAGGTACTCAGAGTACAACTGGGAAAGAGCTGCCTTTTCAAAGTAGAGTTGACCTTAAAAGATGTAGATGGAGCAAACCTTTCCAGACCTTCATTTACTGATCTCAGCTGCAAATAAACAGCTACAGACAGTCATTAATATTTGGAATATGTTATGTACAAAGTGTGAATCTAGGAAAAATGGAAGTTTTCAAAAATGAAATACAACACATAAAGATCAGTATCCTAAGCATTAAGCATCCAGCTGATAAGAAGAGAGGGCATATGCACAGCAACACCCACAGTTGCAGATAATATCCACTTGACCTGGCTTCAATGGCTGGATGATCAGAACTCAACTAGAAGAAGAAAGAAGAGGAAAAAAAGAGTAATCTGATATAATTTGATGAACTTGACCTATACCTATGGATGCAGTAACTCAAAAGAGGGAACAAATCTTTACAACGAGGATCATTCCCACCCCCTCTATACACAGGGTAGACAGGGATGGGCAACTTGAACATTGGCTACCCAAAATGAGGGGGGCTACAAAGGCAAGAAGTGACTGGTTTACAAGCTTTCAAGAGGGAGCCTAGATCCAGAGGGTGCAGAGGAAGGTAGAATCTACACTGAGTAGTATCCAATCTTTCTGGGCGGGGTTGATGAAAAGAGATGGGGATTGCACTCTTGTGGTACAATAGTGAATAATTGCTATCAGGACTGATTGTGAGGGTTGGAAATGTAAAGGTAGACGTTTTGTAGCAAAAGGAGGGGAGTGATTGACTTTGCAATCCAGGAGCGGAGGGCCCTGGGACAATCAAGGAAGAAGAGTGGAGTGCGGGACCCTACCCAGAGAAACAGTGATGCCAGAGATGGAGGC